AAACGAATGGGTCAGGAATAGTTACATACCTTTAGCCCATCTAAAGGACCCATCCGTGGGATGGTCAGTATTCCATCCAGTCCCAATGGAGGGTCTGTGTCTGGATGGCACCGGTGATCTGCGGTGGAGCATGAGTTAGGAAGTGCAGGGGAGCAGGCTGTGGAGGGGAGGTATCAACGTGGAACCCCAAACAACCAGAAACAAATGGTTGTTTTAACAGGGCAATTGAGATCCTTTACATAGCAAGTGGTTGTTGGTGGAAACATCCATTAATTTCTGGTTGTTTGGGTTTCCAGGAATGTATATCCCCTTCAGGCTGAACCCTGGAAAAGACTGAAGGGTGCGAACAGCCCACGCACTGGCCCACGTCTGTGTCCTGCCGTGGTCGGAACAAGTTTCTGTTCCCAATCCGATTAGGTCCCGAGATGGGTGGTTCAAACAGGAAAGACACTGGTCACTGGACAACCAGGCTTGCAACGCAAAAGGGCGCGCACCCCTTTCTGCTGCTTCGCTTTTAGTAGGGAACCCCACGGAACCCCAAAACGTTGAGGATTGGCCGCTTACTGGGTAGATGGGAGGACTTCAGCGTTTCACTTTCCACTTGAACTAGACAGTGCACCTAAACCCGACAGGTTCTGCCTGGGCTCATTCTCCCACTGCCAAGGCCACTGCTGTGACTTCCTTCCAAAGAAAGCACCTGCGATCTGCAGCAAAGCGAGGATGAAGAATCAATACAATCAAATTGCTGGATCAGGATGGATCCCTGCAAAGATCATGCAACACCAAGCCGCCCATATTTCGTCCTCCTCTGCATTGTGTCACAACTCGCACGGGAAGTTGGGTCTTGGCTGGCGGGAACAGCTTTCCACAAACAGTTTGGACCGGTCCCAGGCCGGTCCGTCTCTCTGTCTGCAAGCATGGGACCGCAGCCCTGGAGCCCCGGAGGTGTGTGCGGTCCGTGCGGCTCCGGCTCCGTGTCGGGACTGGAATGTGTGTATGCCACACTGAATCCACTACTGCATCCTTTGAAAACCATCCCAACTGATCGGTCACATATGCCAGTCCCAAACAGGTCGTGTCTGGGATGAACATATTCCAACATGCCCTTCTGGTTGGATCACGCTCCGCCCAACATGCCCACCGGTGGCGCCGCCGGCTGGAAGTCAGGTCTTTCGGGACCGTTCCCTATAATTAGGCCTCCAGGAAAGTACCTTGGTTTCGGTGACGGGACTGGGGTGGGTGCCAGGGTCCAAACCCACCAAACCTCCGAATGTATATCTTCGGACCCTCCGGGCACTGAGCACCCACCCCCGGTCCCACCATCACCGAAACGAAGGTACTTTCCTGGAGCCCAAAAAGGCTTGGACTTTTGGACTGTCTGCAGACCCACCAGCGCCAGGAGTGCGAAGCTCTATACAATTCTTAGACTTGCTTGTTTCGGAAGACGGGAATAAACATGTCACATATTAATCCCCAGGTTCGGTTAGGGGATTCACCCAGTTTGGGAAAATCCATCAAAATCCCCTCAAGCAAGAACCAGGACTTGGTCGCTGATGGATCATGAGGTCCACTCTGGAGGTCTCACGACCGGTTCGGATGGTTCGGACGGTGGCCGAATGAATCACGGATGGGCTAAGAGGCCGGCCCAGCTCCAATGTCCTTCTTGTTTGAAGGATGTTCAAGATGTTCCAAGACAAGCACTACTATAGCACTGGACCAACCCAGCCACCTGATTCGTTATCGCCCGAACACACCAGCGGTCCGGCCGTGTGCCCACCTCCTCTCGCCAGTCTCGGTCCGGCCGTGCCACGCACCGTGGACGCACACGGCAACCTGGCACCAACCGGTTCGGGAATTCAATCAGTCCGGTCCCGGTCTAACCTGTTTTGCAGCTCCTTTGGGATCGGAAGGTGATCCATGTACTTCAGTCACCAACAGTTCCCGAAAAACGGGGGCCTCCAAGCATAGAGCTTGGTTTTCCGTGCGGAACATGGCTTTTCAATCTGCCGTGGCATGTCTTCCGTTCTGTGGCATGTCTTCCCATGTGTCAATTTTACAGGAAAGAGGTCCTGAGAGGTGCTTTGAAACATCACCATGAACACCCCCCCAAATAAAACCGATAGAGCACATGGAGGTCATCGGATGCCATTTCTTTTGACATGCAAAGATGCAAGAAAGAGCACCACATCGGATGCTTCTTAGACACCCCGAATCCCAACTCCGTCCTTTCAAGACAGATCGACACTTCACCACACTTCGCGGTGAAGCCTCTATTCCCAGACGCTCTGTGGTTTGGGGGGTCAATGTATACATGGAGTGTATATGGCATACACGGAGGGCATACATGGAGTGCATGGGATTGCTTTTCGATCACCCCGTTTTGGAACCCACGAAGTCGAGCGGTTCACTGCCAATCTTTTCGCCGGAATTAACACGCGGCTTTCAGCGTGGAGGCGTCCCACGGTGGGATAGTGGAAGATCGGTGTTCGGTGGAAGCCAAGCAGCACGGCACGGCCTAGAGCCCACTCGTTTGACATATTCCCCCTACAGATGGACCTTGTGGTTTCGAACAGTTTCCGAATTCTAACCGTGCTATTCTGCAGGGGAATATGCCTGTCAAGAACACTTGGGCCGGGTCAGAATTACAGGTTTTGCAGGAGAAAACAGTGGCACTGGCACTGCTCAAAGAAAGGGCTTCCTATCTGACCGTTTTGGATAGCAGGATTGTCGAAGAACGCAATGAAAGATATCATATCTGGTGCAAGCTCTGACTTGGGCATTGCTTCAAACAAACTCCAAGCTTTCTGCCATTGCCCGCCCTTTGCATAGGCACTGATGGCTGCGTTGTAGCTAATGACGGTTTGCTGAACTTGCTTGTCCGACATTGCATTGAATAACATTAATGCTCCTTGCCAATGCCCACCCTTCTCACAGGCACTGATGGTGGTATTGTAGCAAATCACATCTGGCTTATCGTCTGTCCTAGTCATTGCATGAAACAACCAAATGGCTTGCTGCCATTGCCCAAGCTGCTCACATGCACTTATCGTAGCACTATAGGTGATGACATCGGGTTGAATGCTTGCCTCTGGCATGGCTTCAAACAAATGTAGTGCCTGTTGCCATTGCCACCCCTTTTCACAGGCACTGATGACCGCACTGTAGCTAATGACATCCTGCTGAACTTGGGTCTTTGGCATGGCATCAAACAACACCAACGCATGCAAGTATTGTTCACTCTTTCCACAAGCTCTCATGGCGGTGTTACAGGCCATGGTGTTCGGCGAAAGCTTGGCTAGCGAGATGGCTTCGAAGAGCAACATCGCTTGCTGCCATTTCTTGGCCTTTTCACATCCGCTGATGGCTGCAGAGTAACTCAGAATATCTGGCTGAAACTTCTCTTCGTACATGGCCATTAAAACACTCAGTCCCAACTGCCATTGCCCACCCTTCTCAAAGGCACTTATGGCCGCGTTATAACTGACAAGATTTGGCTGCACTTGGTCCTCAAACATTCCTCCAAGTAGTTTGAGTGCTTGCTGCCATTGCCCACTCTTCTCGCAAGCACTGATCACAGCACTGTAGCTAAAAACATCCGGCTGAGGGGATGATTCCCGCATCATCTCGAACAAAGTCAACCCTTGCAGCCATTGGTTGCCCTTCTCGCAGGCACTAATGGCTGCATTGTAGCTGAACACATTCGGCTGCACCTTCGCCTGCACCATGCCAGACAGCAAGCTCAATGCTGTCTGCCACTGACCACCCTTCTCACAGGCGCTAATGGCTGCACTGTATGTGATGACATTTTGCTGAACTGCCGCCTTCGGCATGACAGCGAACAACCTTAATGCCCGTTGCCATAGCTTGGATCTAGCACAAGAAGAAATCCCCAGTGAATAATCGGCCGCCTCGAGTTGCATTCGAGCATCGTCTAGTCTGATGTCTTCCAGAATTGCAAAAGCGAGCTCACCTTGGAAATCGCAGATCATTTCATTGAAGGACTAAGGACACACGTAGAAGGGGATGTCCAATATACCCACCTTCGGCTGGTGGGACCATAACTGACTCCCAAGCTGGCCATGGGTGTGTATTTGGGAGACCGACCCCCTGTGAACGTTTTGCCTGGAAGAAGGATTTCATAGACCGGTCTAGCCATTGGGCCAGGTGGTCTCCTGGATTTCAAAGAAAAGGTGCACCGAACTCCACCTGTTCCATCTACCATACTGTCGGTGTCCGCGACTCTCTGGTCTGACACAGACCAGAAGCAAATTAAGAACACCGAAGAGAAAGCAAATCTGTTCATCTTTTGCGGGGACACTCATCCCTCAAAAGGGCTAGAGGTTATCCACCGACTGGGTAGGAGGAGAAATAAGCAGGCCAACGTTTCCTGGTCGCAAACCTATATATAGTATAGCTAGAATAAAGAACTACTATATTAAAAACATATTAAAGCCATAGGTATCATAGCATACTTGTGCAAGGAAAAAAGGAGACTCAAGCAACTGACAGGTCGCCATGTCTGTTCTGGACGCACATCTTCAAGAAATCCTGAAGAACGTATCCTTATCACTCAGGGAGGCAAACGATGTGTCCAAGTCCACGGGCACTTTTCTGCATCCAATGAGTGGGGAAACGGTGTTTTACCTATACCAGCACCACGGAGTAAGGGTGTTTATTGGGGAGAAAGTACATCGTCATTTCATTCAGGCATGTGTATAACACAACCACTTAAAAAGACTCCGTGGTGTTGGTAGCTGGTTCCTCTGGTCCCGGTGATGGACAACAAGCATCCAACAAGTGCAGTCAGACCTTGCGATCGACCTGGGCTCACGCGACGCGGAAGAAGAACGGCCCAGTGGTGCCTCCCACCGGTACAGCAAGCACCCGGGTGCGGACCTTGATCCTGCAGACCAATGCTGCGGACCACCCAGGTTTTTAGTAGCTGGTATTGATTAGACGTCAACATGTTTTTTTCTTTTTCTGGAGGGTCCTTATGTCGCTTATGTGGTCCCGCTTCGAAACTCGAGACCGCCAGGAGTCTGCTGGTGACTTTCTCGGACCACTTGTGCAGCTCTTCCTGTGAACTTCTTGCCGCTCTTCCTGTGCAGCTCTGGCACTTCTTTTCGCGTCTGGCTCTGCATGCCGTCCACGGTGCACTGTGCATACGCCTTGGTCTTTCGATTGTGCTCGGCGTGAAGAACCTCTCACGAGAGGTCGCGATAACCATGAGGCAAATACAGTGGTTTCAGAGTATATTAGATGGCACAGACCTCAACACATTCTTATCGTCCTTTAAGATAAGGGTCCAAGTAAACCACCTAACTCGGGGATTGTGCCCTCTACTCTGAAACCATCGATGGCATGGCCCGCATTGCGCCGCCTGCGCCCGCGCCCTGCTCGCCCGCTGCGAGCCGAGATCAATGGCCGAAGGATCGGAGTGAAGATGGATCGCGCCGATGCGCAGCGGCCGAACGGAGCGATCGCCGCGGTTCGGCATCGCTTCTGGTTGAATGATAAACCCATCTTCTTGGAGAGCTTGAACAACTCCAACAAAACCATACAACCATACACAACCTGTGGTGGACGTGAAAGCTCTCCCAACCCCACCAGGCTTGGAAGACTCCCTGGTTCAATCTGAGGTGGAATCGGACTTCGCGTTCCGTGGGCGGCGAGCGAGCTTGCGTCCCGAAGCTGGATTCCAACTCCAACCACCTCGGAACGATGGGGGCGGATTGGGAGAAGACGAAGCTGCTCAAACCATGGGTGCCCGTGGTGGAACCCAGAACCAAAACCATTCCCACAGAACGAGGGAATGAGAACGGCAGAACTGTGTGGCACGTGTTGGTCCAAACCCCTGAGATTGTGAATGTGTACAGAAGGTTTGGTGGTTCACCCAAGCACCAGCTCTCACCCCCAAATTCTTGCTGCAACATGGTTGGAGTTGGCAAACTCTCCAAGAACAACCAGCCACGAAGTCAAGGATGGCAACGGCTAAACATGAAAGAACCATGACAACACCACTTTGTGGGCAACTGGCGAGCAAGCCGGCACGACATTTTGCACTGGCGAGCCGTGCGAAAAAAGGCTGCACCACTGAAGCTCGAGGATACTCGAAACTAGTGCGGGCAAGCACGGACCGGGCTTGAAGGAAAACCATGGACGGGGCGCCAATGGTCGGGCTTCCCATATTCCGCTGACCAAGAGCCTGAAAGAAGGCACTCAAAAACTAGATCTTCTGCTGACCCATGACTAACAGCATTGAGCGTCTGGGACTTAGAGACTTAGAGGTGCCCACCTTTGTCCACAGGAAACCAATGTAGAATGGCGGACGCACGGCAGTTTGCTTCAAAAAGGTGAGGCAGAAGCTCATCTGGAAACGGACCGTGAAAAGCATAGGTTGCGCATGAGGAGTGCATGGCACTGCTCATAAAAGGGGCTTCCGATCTGACCGTTTTGGATTGCAGGGTTGTCGAAAAATGCCATGAAAGATATCATGTCTGGTGCAAGCTTTGATTTTGGCATTGCTTCAAACAAACTCCAAGCTTTCTGCCATTGCCCGCCCTTTGCATAGGCACTGATGGCTGCGTTGTAGCTAATGACGGTTTGCTGAACTTGCTTGTCCGACATTGCATTGAATAACATTAATGCTCCTTGCCAATGCCCACCCTTCTCACAGGCACTGATGGTGGCATTGTAGCAAATCACATCTGGCTGATCGTCTGTCCTATTCATTGCATGAAACAACCAAATGGCTTGCTGCCATTGCCCAAGCTGCTCACATGCACTTATCGTAGCACTGTAGGTGATGACATCGGGTTGAACGCTTGCCTCTGGCATGGCTTCAAGCAAATGTAGTGCCTGTTGCCATTGCCACGTCTTCTGACAGGCACTAATGACAGCACTGTAGCTAATGACATCTTGCCGAACTTGTGTCTCCGGCATTGCACCGAACAAGTCCAAAGCATACAAATATTGCTCGCATTTTTCACAGGCACTCATGGCTGCGTTGTAACTGATAACATCTGGCTTCAATCGCACCTTCAAAATGGCTTCTAAAAACATCAAGCCAAGCTGCCATTGGTTTGCTTTCTCGGCAGTACTGATAGCAGCGTTGTAGGTAATCAAATCTGGCAGTACCTGCCTTCTTGAAATAAACTCAAACAAGTTCACCGTTTGCAGCCATTGCCCGCCCTTCTCACAGGCACTGATGGCAGCATTGCAACTGATGACACCTGCCTGCACTTGAGTTGTGAGCATGATTTCTATTAACTTCAGCCCAGACTGCCACTGCCCGCCCTGCTGACGAGCACTAATAGCTGCATTGTAACTGATCACATCTGGCCGACGTCTTGCAATTCTCATGACCTCAAGTAGTGTCAGTGCATGCCGCCATTGTCCGCCTTCCTCACAGGAACTGAGTGCTGCGTTGTAGCTGAACACGTTGGGCTGAAGGTTTGAATGTGGCATGGCAATGGAAAACAAGTTCAACGCGAGCTTCCAATTGCTTCCTTTCCTGCAGGCACTCATCACAACACTGTATGTGATCACCTCTGGTTGAATGCTTACTTTTGGCATGACCTCATACAACTTCAATGCTTGCTGCCAGTGTCCGCCGCTCTGACACGCACTGATGGCCGCAAGGTAAGTTATGGCATCTGGAAACGTGTTTGTACTGGGTAGGACCTCAAACAACTTCAACGCTTGCTGCCATTGGTTGCCCTTCTCGCAGGCACTAATGGCTGCATTGTAGCTGAACACATTCGGCTGCACCTTCGCCTCCACCATGCCAGACAGCAAGCTCAATGCTGTCTGCCACTGACCACCCTTCTCACAGGCGCTAATGGCTGCACTGTATGTGATGACATTTTGCTGAACTGCCGCCTTCGGCATGACAGCGAACAACCTTAATGCCCGTTGCCATAGCTTGGATCTAGCACATGAAGAAATCCCCAGTGAATAATCGGCCGCCTCGAGTTGCATTCTTTCATCCAGTCTGATGTCTTCCAGAATTGTAAAAGCCAGCTCACCTTGGAAATCGTAGGCCACCCTTTATAAATGAAAGGCTTTCATTGAAGGACTAAGGAGACACGCAGAAGGGGATCTCCTAAAAAACCTCCTCAACACTGTTGTCTCAATCCTATGCTAATCTATGGTTTATGTTAGATTTTACCCAACTAACACAACTTTCGAATGTGGGTCGGGAGTTTGATGCTTCCATATTATGTTTGAAGGCGCACCTTTCCTCACAGATTTCCTTCCCCAGGCCTTTTGATGAGGCCGAAGAAAAGCAAAACCGTTCTGGCTTCGTATGTCCATGTTGCCATTGTGCTCTTGGAGACTTCTCTTCAAGAAGCTCTGCAGCTGATGTCCTCAACTTTCATTTCAAAGACCAAAGAGTCAGTCTCTTGGCACAAGAACCATGGAATTTGAGGCAGTCTGTTCGTCCATGTAGACCTGTTCTTCCAGTCATTTTTGCAGCCAACTCTGGAAAGAGAGATACATTGTTATCATTTGTTATCTATATATAATTTAACGTTGAGGTCAAGTCGTATCCAGAAGTTCCGAAGGAGGGGCTCTCCAATAGGTGGTGCAGACTCTTTCCGTCAAAGAGTAGTATCACTCGGTGATACCTGTGGAAATCTCTTCAGCACAGAGTTTATAGGAGGGTATTGGCACTTCGTGAGTAAAGTATGCAACTGATTGCAGCAAGTCCAAGTTTCTATTCATCAGCAACTCATCCCAAAATGACTTCAGCGGCTCTGAACTTCTGGCTTTGGCGTTGCCACCACTGGGACCGCAGTCTGGCAGGTTGGGGGCGGCATCGGGGTCATTCAGAACCTTGGTTTTGCTTCTCGGCGAGGCGCGTTCACACGCTTTGACCGAAGCAAGACGAGGAACTTCGTCGAAGCTCCGAAGGTTCGGCCACTTTCGATACATCTGTCCTTCGGCATCTCGCTCGCACGAACTCGTTTTCAGCTATTTCTATATCCCAAACACGACTAATGGGACTGCCATATATGCCTACATTGAGGTTTGGGGGGTCAATGGGGCGGCATATATGGCAGTCCCATGGAGTGTCTGGGTATGTATTTCTCCAATTTCCTTCAAGTACTAGTACCCGTGGAAAAAGGGACCTGAGATGACCTGAGCCGTGTCCATTGACCAGTGTCCCTTGACCACGGCCATCGACCCATCCGGAAAGCCGACCCGGCCCGGCCTGAGTCGCTCGCGACGATGCGAGTTTGGGAGTGCGCTTGGGGCTTGCGATTGTCGTTCCAATCCAAGCTCTGCAAGGAAGCTCTGCAATCCAAGCTCTGCAGAAGCATTTGTTTCGATTTGCCGCAGCTGAGGTGGACAAAAACAACAACTCCCCCCAAAAGCGGCGAACTCGAAAGGCAGAAATCCCGGTGGCGGATTTGGGGATTGGCCAGAAGCAATGTTTGGGATTTGAGCCACGGGTTTCGAACATGGAAGTGTCTATCAAACCACCCAGCACCCGTGGAATCAAAACCCAAACCCCTAAGGGGGTGTCCATTTACTACCTGTCGTGGGTCCGATTTGTTGCATCATCCAGCGAAGGCAACTCCTTTTCCATCCAACATGGGCCAGGACCATGTGACTGAATTTACACCCCCGAGTTTGAGGTCACAAAAAGACTGTAAAACGCTTACAAGGCGAAGGCACCAATCAGCATGAGCATGGCCATTTTCTTCTGCCCAGTCCCAATCAACATTCGTCCCACAGAAGTTGTACACAAAGTCGCTCCAGGTTATCGCTTCATCCCGGCTCCCACAAGGACCATGGTGGTTGCTGGTCGTTTTGCTCCGTCCGTTCCATCCCCGAACACGGAAAGGCAATCCACTGCCATGATATCATTCATAAACCCAGGTTACAAAAAAGGATTCTGAACTATTCTACTTCTCTAGGGGGGACTCATTCATCAAGACATATCAAGAGAAATCATGTGGAGCCTCGTTCGCCCCTAGTCCGAATATTTGTTTGCCCACGAAAATGGTCCGAAAGTTCCTGAAAGGCCTTCGTCTCCTTAAGCAAACGCCATTGATTCTTCTTGATTTGTGCTTTGCTGAAACAAGGTTACTGCAGTAATTGTCTTTGCTAAGGCAGTCCTTAAAGACTTTAGCTCCAAGCTGATTTCTACCTGGCAGACTACTCAACCAGACAAATACAACAAAAGACAGTCTTTTTGACTGGTCAAGGTCAAGGTAGCCATGGCTCTCTTGGCTTTATACCGGAATCCTTGGGGTCCTCCGGTGTCTGCCTAAGACCGATTGCTTTCGGAAAGGCTCGCTGGGGGTGTAGCTTCTGCAAGTAGAATACATTCGATTCCTCGACATGTAGGTTGGAGGCCACGGCTAGTAGGTTGGAGGCCATCGCTAGTAGGTTGGAGGCCATCGCCTGGGATTGCCCAAACAATACTCCACTATACCCAGACCATCCATGGAACTGGAAGAGTTGCCTACATGGGCCTACATGAAAACCCCATCCATGCTGGCGTAACTATTCGTCCCATAAAGTCTGGTCTGGGATTGGTTGTGCAATACACTCCCTGGAACTATCGTGGAAGTGGAATACAGCCTGTTCATAGAGGAATTCAGTCTTCTTTTCAGGGCCATGTTCCACTTCGTTAGTTTCAGGGAGTCAAACATATTAGAACGTCCCAGATTTCTCCACCCACTCAACTCACACATCACCAGCTTCTGGCATTGCCCAAACACATCATGCTTCAGATGTGAACGGGCTGCGCAGTCTGTGTCCAGGACTGCCGTGTAGGACACGAGGTTTGGTGCAAGATCAACCTCAGGCATGGCCTCAAAGACGCACCATGCTTGCTGCCATTGGCTAGCCTTCACACAAGCAGTGATAGCAGCATTGTAGCTGATCACATCAGGCTGAAGTCTTGCCTTTGGCATGGCTTCAAAGAATTGGATGGCTTTCTGGGATTGATGGCCCTTCTCGAAGGAGCTCAAGACCGCATTGTAGCTTATGAGGCTGTGCTGAACCTTTGCCATCGGCATGGCCTGAAATAATCTTAGTGCTCCTTGCCATTGTTCTCCCTTCTCGCAAGCGCTTATGCTCGCATTATAGCTGACGACATCGGGCTGAAGCATCGCTTTGGGCATGGCATCGAACAAGATCGTTGCTTGCTGCCACTGACCAACGTTCTCACACGTGCTAATGGCCGCATTGTAGCTGACGACATTAGGACTGACTCGCACCCGGGGCATTGACTCAAACAACTTCAAAGCGTCCTGCCATTCGCAGCCTTTCTCACATGCACTGATCGTCGCACCAAAAATCACGACATCAGGCTTGGCCTGCGTCCTAGGAAAAACTTCAAACAACATTAATGCATGCCGTGATCGGCCAGCCTTCTCACAGGCACTTATGGCTGCGCTATAGCTAAACACATCCGGCTGAACACTGAGATTCGACATTGAGTCGAAGCAAGCAATTGCATGCTGCCATTGCCCGCCTTTCTCACACGCACTGATGAGTGCGCTGCAAGTCAGTACGTCTGGTTCAACGACAGCACTTGGCATCGCCGCAAAGAGTGTCAGCGCATCCTCCCAACGTCCGACCTTCTCGCATGCGCTGATGGCTGCGTTGTAGCTGAAAGTATTTGGCTGGACCTTGGCCTCTGGCATGGCCGTTGAAAACAAGTTCAATGCTAGTTCCCAATTGCCACCCTTCTCGCAGGCACTGATGGCTGCACTGCAAAGGATGACGTTCAGTTGAATCTGCGCTTTTGGCATCATCTGAAAGAGCTTCAACGCCTCCTTCCAAAGCTTGGACCTGGAGCACGAAGCCATTCCCAGTGCCAACTCGCCTTGGGGGAGATGGACGTGGCGGCTTCGCACCGCGGCGAACGAACGGTGCACGCACCGTGCCTCCGAAGCGGTGGCAGCGGTGCACGCGTTCACGGCTTCGCTACACGGGGGTGTAGCGACTAGGGTTCTTCGGTCCGGACCCTGTAAAGGAGCCTGTACCTAAGTGAATCCTAGAAGTGACCTAGAACACTACTACAGACTCTAAGTGAATGAATCTCCAGTGGCCTGGTGTTTTTAAGCGAGTGTGTCTCCAAACCATCACAGACAGTGGTAACAAGGTACCCAAAACACCAGGCGGGCCCTCGTTCCAATCGCTGGGACGGTCTACCCTGGTCATCTTCTCAACAGCTCGCGAACGTCCAATCACACCCCTACGATTTTGGGGGGATTCCCCGCCTGGGTGTGAGGGTTCTGCACCAGGAGTCCATTCCCTAACAATCCATTTCGAATACCTACATGAGGGTCAACCATGCGGTAAATATACCTGAAAACCGAAACAGCCAGGAAAAAGTGTTTCTGCCAATATGTTCTTGAGATCCTTTACATAGCAAGTGGTTGGGACTGGGGAAACGTCAATTTGTTTTTGGTTGTTTGGGTTTCCAGGTAACTATTATGCCAGTCCCATGGATGGTCTGGGATGCGTAGATTAGCGGCTTGGACCCTGAAGCTCTCTGCACACATGAGCGAACAGGCATCTCAGGCATTCAAATCAGTCCCAGTCCGGCTTACGCGATGGAGTGACAAAATCGGCGGCCCCTTACACCCGAGAAACTCGATCTACAACATTCTACCTGGACCCTCCTGTCGGGGTGCCCTGTCTGGAAGCCTAGTGGGGTAGTGTGGGGTAGTCCAGCCAGGACCCCCGCCCCCGACAGGAGGGTCCTGGTGCTCTCCACCTTTCGATCACATCTGCAAAGTGTCGCTTCGTCACATCTTGCCCCAGTTCTTGCGCCCAAAGTCTGGAGTCCAGTGCAACCTCACTCTTCACCTGACACCTGGCTGGGATCCACCGGCGTCCAGTCAGCCATGCTCCGAACACAGCCCTCGTGGTGAAACCACCACTTCCACGAACGCCGCGTCCGGCTCCACCGGTGGCCACTGGGTACGGCGGGAGGCTCCAGCGCTCTCGCCCCTCCCGCGGTGCTTCCGCTCTCCAGCGCGGTGGGGCGACGTCATGGGTCAACATGCGGCGACAAGGGGGAGCGAAGGATTCCGATGTTTACCTGGCGTCTTAAGGCATGCGGATTCCGATCAAGGTTCGTAAAGGTTCGTAGTTTGTTGACCTGTCATGCTTAAAGAGCGAAGGATTCCGATCCTTGTCCCAAACTACGAAGATGACCAATTGGACACCCGCATGTGTGCCGTACAAAGGTCTAGTGCCCCCCTCAAACCACTCCCAAAAACGTTTTTTTATTAAATGTCATATTTATGGAATCTCTGGGTTTGGTTGCAGAATGTTGCAGATCTGCCAAAGCCTTACATGGTTCCAAAGATTTGCCAATTCTGCAAGACTTCTGCAAGATCTGCAGCCAAAACCTTGGTGTGAAATGAACTGTGCCCAGCTGCCAGGATGTGTTCAAGGGCCTGTGAAGAGGACAAGGATGGACAAGGTGGGTAATACGGAGTGATCATTTTTCTCCATTTGGTGATTGTTGTCACTGACCGCGGAGAGGTTCTTGGAGGATGCTTAGTTTTAGACCAGGAACACCCCAAGGCACACGCCTAGCGCTTTCATGTTTGATCTGTTTCCGTTTAATACTGTTACGGAAGAAATCTGACATAACGGTATATGGCAATGGCAATATACCAATTTCTAGTCGATTCTATTGTATTCTATATATACCAGTACCAAACAGGTATTTCCTGGGTTTCCAAGTCCGGTGCCCCAAAGCCTCTGTGAGGGTGCCAAAAGCAGTAGAGCTTGGAGGGTGGTATATCAGCGGTGGTGATACGGAAGTGATGCAAGATCGAATGCGATCGATAGGGCCTGGATGTGTCTGGGCCGATATTCCCTGCTGTTTTCGGTCATATCCAGACACTCCATGTGACTGGAACAGTTTCCTAGATTGGGGTCATTTGGATGGGTTACTGTATATATACAGCTCTTCCAGTCCCATTCGAACCACATCAGGGATAGCACCACATAAACCCACCAACCCCATCACGAAGCCACCACCCAACACCGAACACCCTATGAGTGGCGCTCCACAATCGTTCCGGGGTCTTCCACTCGTTCCAGGGAGGGTTGCACCAGTCTTGCCACGGATTTAGCGTACGTTTCGCGCGTTTCGGAACCTGGAAGAACATCAAAACGTCTTCCCCAATTCGGCTGCTTTGGGGGTTGATCCCAGGCTCGGATCCCAATCTTCGGGCACAATCCACAAGCACCTTAAAGACTTAAGATCCGAAAAACCAAGTGGTGCATCAGCATGGAACCCTCAGTCTTTGGAACTTCCAGCCAAGGCGAGGTGGCACCTCTGGAGGTGGCACCGATCCGGAGGCCTTTAAAGCACCGGAAAAAGGAACTCCTAAGGCACAAATACAGAAGGAGTGGCACAGTTTCTTCGGTTTTTCAACTTCTCCAGGACTTCCTCTCCACTGGTACTGGTGCCATACGGCGTCTCGCCATGCGAAGCGTGAAAACCACCAAGAAACACGTACTTTCCCTCGGGTTTTGGGGCACTGTGCAAGAAGCTCGGACAAGTGGTCGAGATGCATCCAATGCGCCGACAAACAGATTGCACAACCCGATCGCCGGCAGGCGATCGCTCGACTCGTTCGCGGTGCCTTTTTTTTCTGGTGGCACAGCCAAACTTCAAACGATGGTGACAGGTGAACACTTGATTCTTGCCAGTTGAACTTCACTGGCAAGCTAGGGCCAAGTTAATGGCCTGGATTACAACGAAGGACTAGCGTGTCAATGACCAATTGCTTCCATTGCTAGAAATTGGTCTTGATTCAGCAAACACACTACTTCATACTAGTTCAAAATTTTCTCAGAAGCGAAGTTGGTCTCTCAAACAACAAGCAGTTCAAACCTTTTTCGCTGAAAGTTCCACACCTGTCTTGTAGGAACTGATTGCGGCGTTGTAGCTAATGTCACTGGCTCGAAGTGTTTCCCTCAGCAAAGCCTCAAAGAAAATGAGTCCTTCGTGCCATTGGCCACCTTGGTGAATACGATCAGACTGACACCCCAGGGATGGTTTGAGGAGGTTATGCTTTTCCAACAAAAAATGTTAGATGTTATAGGATGTCATTGATATCTATATCTACTTTAGAGGGATGGATACTTGTGGCAAACACACTTACACGGGTCTCTTGGAAGTCAGATCAAACTAACAGTAAGGGGAACCGCAAAAACCAAGTAGAATAAGAGTCTCAGAACCAGAAGAATTGCATCGGTTTCGAAACAGATCACTCGGAGACGAAACCCTTCGCCCGATCAGAGTTGTCAAAAGAGCAAACATCGTTGAGTCTAATCATGGAAGTGTACGGCGCCACCAATCATTTGTAGAGAAACATGATCATGCAAAGGGGCCATGTTCCACTTGCATGATGACTTCAGCTCCGTTTCATTCGTTAAAAAAAGGAGGTCACACCCCCGTCGTAAGTCGGAAAGACAGGTCCCGGCGGCCAGGCCACAGGAACTGTCACATGCACTGATCGTGGAATTGTAAAGCACGACATCTGGCTGTACGTTCGACTGACGCGAGACTTCCAAGCACTTCCGTGCCTGCTGCCATTGGTTTCCTTTCTCACAGGCACTGACACTGGCACTGTAGCTGATCAAATCTGGTTCAACGATCCATTGCATGGCTTCAAAGACCTGCAGGGCTTGGTGCCATTGGTTACCCTTCTCACAGCTGCTGATGATCGCATTGTAGGTGATCGCTTTTGGCTGATGGTGGCTGGCTTTTAGCAGGACCTGAAAGAGAGTCAAGGGTAACTGCCATTGACCCCCCTTCTCGCAGGCACTGATAGCAGCATCGTAGCTAATAAGATCTGGCCTGACTTGCAACTTGGACATTGTGAAAAGCAACTTCAATGCATCCTGCCATTGTCCGTGCTTCTCACAAGAACTGATGGTGGCATTGTAGGTGATGACATTTGACAGGATGTTCGCTTGCGACATGTGATTCAATAGCCCAAGTGCTTTCTTACCATTCCGACCGCTTCTACAGGCGCTGATGGCCGCATTGTAGGTGACAACATTGCGCTGAACTTTTGCAATGGACATGGACTCAAACAGCTTTAAAGCTTGCGGCCAGCGGTTGCCCTTTTCACAGGCACTGATGGCTGCACTGAAAGTGACCACATTAGGCTGAACATGTGCTTGGGGCATGGTCTGAAAGAACTCCAATGCTTGCTGCCACTGACTGCCGCTTTCGCATGCACTGATAGCTGCACTGTAGCAAAACAAATTGGGCCACACGTTTACGTCAGGCATGGATTGAAAGAATGTCAATGCTGCCTCCCATTGCCCGCCCTTCTCATAGGCACTGATGACAGCGCTGAAACTGAAAACATCGGGCTGAACTGTTGCAATGGGCATTGCCTCAAAAAGAGCTAGAGCATGCTGCAATTGCCCGCCCTTCTCACAGGCACTAATAGCTGCATTGTAGCTGAACGCATTTGGTTGAACCTTCGCCCGCGGCATGGCCGTTGAAAGCAGGTTCAATGCTAGTTCCCAGTTCCCACCCTTCTCGCAGGCACTGATTCCAGCACTGTATATGATGACATTTGGTCGAAGCTTGGCTTTTGGCATGAGCTCCAACAATCTCAACGCCTGCTTCCAAAGCTTTGATCTGGCACAAGAAGAAATGCTCACCGCATAGTCTTGCAGTGTGCTTCCGTGGCCATCTTTCCTGACCCCCTCGTGGCCGTCTGTCGTTGACACCGCATGCAATGCGTGCAACCGGGGCTCCTCGGCTGCCGCAAAGGGCGACCTCGGTCCTGAGGGCAGCGTTGGTGAGACCACAAAAAGAAACAGAGACGATCCTGGATGAGGTGAGAAGAGACGGAATATGTTTTTTTTTGGTGGAAGTGGAAGGGTCTGAAAAACAGAATCCTATACAACTGAAGATAATTGAAGACATTCCCCCAATTACGTCTTGAATGCATCAAGTCCTGAATCATTCTGGTGGTGTAGTAGGTGTTCCTTCGCAAGAAAAGTGGCTCTCCAAAGTGCTTAAGTTTGGGGTGCTTTAGCTTCTCACATTTTTACAAGAAAAACCAGTATCAGCACCTGTCAGGAACCACACCCACTCCCAAACCATCACACTATTGCACTTCCCAGCATCTCAGCGTTGGATGTGCTGCTTTGCTCTCCCGCCCACCTTGCGGTGCGGTCGACGGCAGGTCGAACGGAGGGATCCGGACCCCGAAGCCGTTTTGAACGCAACCAAGGCAGGGTCAACATCAAAGTGGTTGATCGTTTGATGGGCACACCTCCTGTAGAACATGGGGGCGGAACGGGCGTGCCAGGAATTCGACGGGTCAAATCACCCGACACTCCAGACCCTAGTGACTCCATTGAGCATGACCTCGATGGTAAGTGTCTCACAGATTGATGGTCTGGGTAGAAAGCCCCCAAGGGCCATCCAAACATATCACTGATAGGACATGTTGGTCTAAAATGCCACAAACGGGTGGTGTTTCCCTTGGCAAAACCAATGGAGATCTGTGAACCTCTTACATGACCCATTGCAACCACACATCAAGTGGTGACATCTAGGCGCCCCAAAACCCAAACCCAATCGCTGGATCAAAAAAGCGATTTGCACCTCTTCCCAAATTCCAACAGTTGGTTGCTTCATCTTGGTTCTTGGAGAGCGGTTGTTCCTACTGATGGTTCTTTCGCCTGCCGGGTGATGGCAGTGGTTTTGATCCTCTCCAAATCTGTCCCTAATAGCTTCTTGTTACTAGTAAGGCACCTGTTACTACTAGCGTGGCACT